CTCCACAAAGATTATCATCACAAAACGACATATTACAGCTTGAGATCAAGTGACCGTCCCTTACCAAAGAATATGGTATCCCAAAATTCATAAGAAGGTCACCCCGTTGAGAATAATTGTCTCATCAATAAATAGCCTTCTGTTAAACTTAGGAAATTTTATTCGGAAAAATACCCCCAAAGCACGCCGCAATATCCCAAAAGCACGCAGTCACATAAAAAACAGTTTTTTCTTTATATAACATACTTTCTAAAACAACAGTAGATAAAGATGACATCTTAATTTCATTAGATGTAAAGTCTTTGTTCACAAATGTACCTGTAGATTTAGCTTTGACAGGAATAAACAATAGATGGTCATATATACAAAATTCAACAAACATACCAAGAAAAGAATTTCTCAAACATAATCAAATTTCTTCTTTCATCAACATACTTCACCTTTGGTAATAAAATATTCAAACAGACTTTCGGAACACCCATGGGATCACCGTTGTTCCCCATAATAGCGGTCATAGTCCTTCAAGATATAGAAAACAAAGCATTATTCAAACTAGGGAAAACAATCAAAATTTATTACAGATATGTAAACGATATATTTTTAACAACCTAAAAAGAATCAATTCAAACGATTTTAGACACCTTTAATTCCTTCCACAAAAGAATAATATATACTTTGGAAATAGAAAAAAATCGGAGTTTTTAAACTTGGATCTAAAAATCATTATAGACACAAACAACCATATGATATTAGATTAGATAGGTACTACACGTGTCATAAAATACATACTCACCCCACGTGTCATAAAATAGGCATCGTTTACAATTTGATTGACAGAGCATTACTCCTCTCCCATCCCACATTCCATCAAAAAAATTTACAATTGCACATAAACATACTAATGGATAACGGATTTCCCTTAGATTTTATTTTCAAACACGCTCACAAAAGAATTAAATATTTAATAAACAATAAATTGAAAATCAATCCAAAAGAGACACAAGAGACGACAGACATTACAGAAGAGAAAAAACTTATAGCCATACCCTACATAAAAGGCCTGTCTGAATTAGTTAGTAAATCATTAAAAAACACAGCGTTCGACATAGGATACAAATGTTTTAATCGATTGAATAAATTCATTAAAGTTCACAAGGATAAAACTCCTTCACATAACAACAATAATATCATATATCAAATTCAATGCAAGAACTGTGATGCAACATAGGTAGGACAAACAAAAAGACAGTTAAAAACCAGAATAAAAGAACATAAAAACAATTTTTATCAATCCAACGCAAAATTTACGGTTATTTCCAAACATATTTTAGATAAAAACCATACAATAGATTGGGAGAACACAAAAATATTAGAGAGCGAACCGCACTATTACAAAAGATTGATTGCAGAATCAATTCACATAAACAAACAAAAAATGGTTTAAACATCATGGAGAACTGCGATTTATTGGATCGTGCATATTTTCCGTTGTTGAACGTTAATACCCAAAAAGCATCTAATTTGTGCTAATGATGTTTAAAAACAATAACATAGACTATTTATAAATAACACTGTATATCTGCGCTTTGTCAGTATCTATCCGTCAGGTATGAGAAACACAATTCAATATAACATCAATGTTAAAAAATAGAATCAATGATTGTGTCATTCTTCATAAGTTTTTGCAATGAGAAATGCGGAAATTGGTATGAGATTTATTTAATTCATGACTACCATCTAGCTTTGACTTTATAACGCATTAATCTGACAAAAACCAACATCTTTTACATAGACAAACATCAATTTCTGCAACAATCATTGCATCTGGAGACCGACCGAAGACATCATCTGACACTCCCAACACATTTTACAACAAAAAAATGCATAATATTAAGTAACTGTAAGTTCGATGTAACGTCCAAAATTTTGTTAAAATTTATTAATATTGGCTGAAGAGACAAAAGTAATTGTCGAAACGTCCCAATGCGTTTTTATATTTTTTATTTTTAGAATTGTATGCGTTCCATCTTAGATTTATTATGATTTGATTTCAATAAATAAAAATATGTTTCAATATCCATTTGTTTTAAATTACTCGTATAAGCCTAGATTAATTCTTAGAAAAGTTTACTTAATTTTGACTTCCATTAAGAATAAATTTTGCTTCATCTTAGGAAGTACATGCGTAGGTACAGTATGTTCTGCCTCCCCCCTACAGGGGGTTCCACTCTCAGAAGATATAGCCTAACCTAATCGGTGTTTGATGCGGGATACACTTCACTTTGTATAGAAAATTACAAATCTATGTGAAATTATGCAACAATTGACTTTTCTTTCGATAAATGTATTAATGAACTTATGAAACTTCTTTTGTTTATATTTTTTGAATAATAAACAATGACCACCTACTAAAACCTTGGCAACATTAATCATCAGAGTGATGATTATGATAACATAAGTGAGAATTATTGAAATCGGAAGAGGGTCCGTATAGTAGTAAATAATTACCAAAAATAATATACTCTATGGTCAAACAAATAAAATATAACAAATAAAAGTGTATAAATTTAATATCAATAAAATGAAAATTTATAATAACAATATTTTCATAAATGAAAAAAATTAATTAATTTAATGATTAATCGTTGTTCCAATCCTCAATAATTCACGTTCATGAAATAAGTAATAAGAGAAAGCGAAATTATATTATATTTCTCCGGATAAAATGAAATCTTTATTTCTTAGCGATGGCATACTCCCCCATAATTTAACCGAAATTCACAAAAAAGATATCCCATTACGTATTATTGTTTTGTCGATAAATAATCCTCTGTATGCGTGTCCACCATCCTTACACAACATCATACATAATTCAAGGGCTCATAGAAAACAATTTCGAAATAGTTAAAAAATTAAGAGGACAGTATTTAGACAAACAATATTGCCTTATTTTTATAGACGTTGCTAAAACGCATGATTTGAAGGCCTGCAAAACACGCACAATATAATCATAATACACAACAAACACATACATACAAAATAAAATAAGTAAATTTTAAATATATACAAAAAAAATATGTAGTTATTAGAAAACAATAACAAATAATGCTTTCACATTTAATAATAATGTTACAGTTTATAATTATTAATAATATTACAGTTTTAAAGTACGTTTATTCTGGAGGATTGCATATAGTACAAAGAAACGTATACTATATCTAAATACGTGGATATGAGCGGTTGAAAAAATGATAACTACGCTTGCGTCACTTTCGTAACCCATACACTTTTTTCCATTTCACTTTTTTAATGTTATGTGAAAACAACACGTGTTTAATTTCATTCGGCGTTAAATCGATCGCTTAATCGACGGCTGCCCCTCAACAAAATAATATTAAATTACAGGTGTTCCGTTCTATAGTCATACTCCGTGTCCTTTCGTGTTGCATTTGGTACAATTATGGTACATTTTACGAAAATTAACTTATATGATATAGAGCGTAATAATTCATACTAGAAAAAAGGACTTTGAGAATATCTGATCAACCAATTTAATGGTGGGGATAAGCAAATGTCCGTCGACTTCATCCTTGTCAAATGTGTTCTAATGCTAGCAGAGAGATGATCAGTATTGAAGATCGGTATTTTAATCTTAACCGAATTTTACTGTTGACTATTGGTTTATGGCCTTATCAGAAATCAGCGTTTACACGATTTCAATCAATCTGTTTTTTTAGCATCGAAGCAATCCTTATTATATCTCAAGTATGTATTAAAATATATTTTAATTATAGTATACATTATATGAATTCTAAAATCTAATTTCGTTTATGTGTGTATGTGTGCTTGCGTACATACGTGAGATATTTTTTTTTCTACCTAGCAACATTTCTCAATAAATTTGTTTAAAAAGATATTAATTGAAATATCAGCAATTGAATATTGGGGATACTTCTGAAACTCCGAAAAAGTGCAATTAAATAATTTGAAGTATTCTTTATTTATATATTCATAAAAATATATTTTGATTTTATCTTATTTCTAAATTTATAATGTATAAAATAATTTATAATATTGACAAATGTTTATTAATATAATTTATTAAAACTTGTATATGAGTGGTAATATGTAAAGATTTCTTATAAAAAATCGAAAATTATGATTATCGAAAATTATGAAGAATATATTTTAACCTAAATATATTATTTAATATATTGTATATATTAAATATATTAACTATAATATATTCTAATGTCGTAAGTATATTATCTCATCGTCTTTATGATAATTTCTTACTTTTACATTCAACTTGCATTGAATACTTTATTATAAAAAAATAAAATTGTATATTTGTAATGTATTATATTTGAGACTATATATAATAATATAAATATAGAAATATATTTATTAATACCATAATGTAATAATGTAAATATAATTATATCACTAATACGATATATTTGTCTCTCTCTTACATAAAATTATTTATTTAAAAAATTATTATATAAAATTAATTTATTATATTGCCATGAGATAAGTAAACTATAACAACATAGAATTTATAAATTATTAATCAAGAATAAAGATACTTGTTATATAAATTATTTATTATATAATTATTTATTATTATAAATTATTTATTATATAATTATTTGAAGAAAATTATTATTTACAGTTTACAATATTTCTAACTTCAAAGTTTACTATTGACATTGTTATTAAGATTCTATCTCCCGCATTTGCTTGCATTGGTTTCATACTAACATACAACTCGTTTTACATTAATGACGAGACAGTAAGTCAAATATTTATTATATCGTAATGTAGGTTCATAATAAATAAACATTTATTTTAAAACTTCGTAGTAGACCTTATTGTATTTTACAAAAAGATAAATAGAATAAAAGCTTGTTACAAATAATATAGGTAATATATTTAATGAAACAACTCCAACTTATTTATGATGATATAAAGGACAACAATGAATTCATGATTATTGAAAAATATGGAAACAATGCGAAATATTATACGATTAGTTTAATAAGTAAGAAAATGTTTCTTTAATTTCGTTTCATAATACATTTTTCAATTTCATTAATGAGCTAAGTTTATTATAAAAGCCTTTACATAAAATAAAAGTATTTTAAATTATGTAAAGTGTCATATAGCGCTTAAAGTGCACGAGTTTTTATTGCTATAATATTAACATATTACTTGTTTATATTTTTATTTAGCGTCTTTCTTCTTCATGATATGCGTTCATATATCTGCTCCTATCTGGTCGGATTTTTTTGACGTTATTTTAACAGCAGAGAAGTTTCGACATCGTCATATACAGACTAATTTTGTAAAACAAAAACAATATTCCCAGCAATATTTACGGCAATTGTATATAAATGTTGCTTACTACGTAGGAATTGCTGCAGTAGTAGCTACTGGGACAATGCTCATTACATATTTTCAACATTTTTGCGGACTGTTTAGAATTGCTAAGTAAAGTATTAATACAAAATTAGACTGTTTTTCCGAAAACGATCATGCTCCGATTTGAGTCAAATTTTGTAAATAGATTCCTTTTCGGTACAAAAGAAGTATACGAGATGGATTTTTGGCGACTCGAAAATTAAGGTATTTTTTAAGCTTTTTTTCTTAAAAGTGAATATTATCTTTAGACAGTTGAAATGACTTTGCTATATATTTTCATGGTCATATTCTTGATTATTTTAGTTACTACATATATATTACATATATACACCATCCATGAGTCAGCGCGAAGCGGAGTCTATTATTAAGTAAGATTCTACATAGGTTTGTAACTTTCCACGCGAAACGAGGAAAGTTACAAACCTATGTAGAATTTAGAGAACTACACCACATCACTTTCAGTTCCTCCTCCCGCAACTACCCAGCTGGTAGGCAAGGTGGACCTCGCTTTACAACTTACAGCATATATCCATTGTGATTGAAGTCTTCGCAATGCGGCCCCTACAGGCGGAGTGTTTGCGGGAGGGGGGCCTTCGGCCCCCCTTGCATCCTTTGCGTGCACGCACGCGCGCGTGTGTGTGTGTGTACATATACATTTGTGAAATTAATAAAACTTCACCAATTAAAACTTATTAAAGGTTACTCAAAGTCATAATCTTGATTACATATGTCAAGATTGAGGTCATTGGTGAGGTTGCCGATTTTCTAGATATTTATCTTTTGAAACAAGCTGTCTAAAGGTAATTTTCACTTTCACGAAAAAGAGCTTAAAAAGTGCCTTAATTTTCGAATCGCCAAAAATTCTTTTCATATACTCCTTTTATAGCTACAAGGAACCTATTTACAAAATTTGACTCAAATCGGAGCATGATCGTTTTCAGAAGAATAACTCAAAATTAAAATATTAAGGTTGAAAATAATTATATATTATTTTTGTGCAATTTTGAAATAGTATATTATATTGGATTATCGAAATAATATATCGGAAAGATGAATTAATTATCTCATTAAATAAATGAATCACTCTTTATATACAACATATCCAAAATTTATGAAATTGTTATTAAAATTACATGGATTGTTTAATCAACTTAATTGTTCTCTCGAAACGTAAAATAATTATTTTCAAGGATGAAGACATAATTGATATGAATTTAACAGGATATAAGTGAATAATATTATTTTAATTCTGCTATTAAAATAATTGAAAATTTGCAATAAACTTTATTCCGTATTTGAAACTACACATTCTTTCAAATACAAATAAAAATTCTTTTAAATAGTTACATTAATAATAATTTCTTTTAAATTTCATAAAGTTTTAATAGAAAAGCGACTCTAAAATACGAAAAACATCTCAAAAAGTTATATAAATATTATTAAAAATATTAAAGTATGATTTATTTTATAAAACGCTTAAAACTGTATGAAGTATTACTTAAACAAGAGTATAACAAAATAAAATATCCTTAATAATCTAAAAAATATACAAATGCTAACTTACTTATATTAGCCTTTATATAATATTGTAAACGTTGCAGTCTTTAATTGACTGCATATTATATGAATTAAGATTAAAATCATTCTATCTTAAAACTAATTTTGTAAATTTATTCATAGTTACCGTATCAAGAATGCAATGCAGAATTATATATCGCAAGATATTAATTTACAAAAAGAGAGTTTGATTCACAAGGATATAATTTATGCTATAGATATTCATCGTAAAGCTATGAAGTTGGTATCTATTCCATAATACATATATACAGTATGCGTAATAATATATTTTCTTATTTTTAAAGATTCTCAGATTATTTAATATCTAAATTTGAGATGTCGTTCTTCTTATTAATAATATTAGGAGTGATCACTTTAAGTTTCAATATTTTTCAAGTAAGTTTTATATGAATTTATCAAAATAAATTAAATAAATTTTACATTACGTTGCGCGCGCATCATTTATCTTTTAAAGTATTAAATATAATATAAATAAAATAAAAAACACAATTAATTTTAAAAAACTGTTAACCATCGCGGTAATGATACAAATATAACAACACAAATATAAAACACAACAAATCGTGATAACCAATCAGCATCATTCGAAGAAAAAGGCAACACTATCAATAACATACCTTTTTTTAGAGTCGGATTTTGTAATATGTTGTCTTATACTAAATGTACTTAGTCTTTTTACCGATACGTAATATAACATTCTAATAATATAATTAATATAATTCTATGTAATATAAATCTTTAAATGTAGTTTATTATAGTTTTGGTAATATTTTCGGCTATAAGAAAATTTAGGTAATAATTATTAATTTTTAAATAATAATTCGCAATATCATTGCTATAAATAACATAAAAATTTATAAATTCATTTATATTGAGATTTGTATGAATATTAAGATTTCGTTTTACTTATTTTAACTTGTAATCGATTTATTTTTTAAAAATTCTAATTATAGTTGAAAACCTATCATTAATATATATATATATATATATATATATATATTATTATTATTATTATATACATTTAATAAGTTTTATAATGTTTCGAAATTTAATCTCATAAATATACAGGTATATTTATGAGATTAATAAAAAAGAATATTATGAAAGTAAAATTTATATAAATACAATGTAATGCGATAGAAATAAAATATATAAATCGAACAAAGGTGACTAATAAATAAATTATTAATTTATAAGAAAAGAATTTAATAATGATTTAAAATATAATAGATTATTTAATTACAATTAAAAAATTTTTTTAACGCTTTTATAATCTTTTTATAAACTTATACATTATACATTATAACTTATACATTATAACATTAAGATTCATAATGTATATATTAGGTGTTTCAGGTTGCATCATCAGGATATAACTTCGAACAATTTTTATTACCTATTTACACTATAATTGTTTCTATATTGTATATGTTTTTGTCTAACTTTGTCGGACAAGAAATTATAGATCATAATAATGATGTATATGCTGCAGCGTAAGAAATATCTTCAGATTATATAATTTTATATATTTTTTATATATGTATATAAATATTAATTAAAAATGTAAATTCAAAAAGTGCACAAAATGAATATATACTCTCATTAGATCTATTCACTTTTCTTAAAGTTTTATTGATTCATTATATTTTCACATATAATAGATATAATGTCTGCTGGTATACAGCTCCTCTACATATACAAAAGCTAATACTGTTTCTGTTGCAAAGAGGTAATAAAGCTTTTGGTCTAAGCATCGGTGGATTGTTTATAGCATCTTTAGAATGCTTTGCCACGGTACAAAACATTTCATATGTATCGTAATATGTCACGTATTAGGTAATATATCACAAAAAGATATAAATACATATTTTCTTACAGCTGATAAAGACATCTGTATCTTACTTTACTGTTATGTATTCAGTCTGATAATAACAGTAAAAGAAATATATAATTGATATCCAGTGATGTAAAAAATAAGGTAATTAATTATTTATTTATACATAACACCTCCCGGTTTCAATAATTCTCATATATGTTATCAAGATCATCACTCTGAGTAATGTTGTGAAAATTTTAGTCGGCGATCATTGTTTATTAAAAAATTATAAACAAAAAATGTCTAATAAGTAATATGTAATTTTATGACACTGTATAAACTATAGTATATTATCGGTTGACATTGTTTATTTTTCTTATATTGAAATCAGGTAGTGGAACAATGATAGACTTCTATGTTTTTGATATTTCTTATGACTTTGAAAATATTTAAGAAAAGGTGAGTGAGTACAAGGCAGATTGTTGTACAGTTAACATGAAGTTCTACGAGTTTCTCGCTTTAACAACAAAATATGATGAGATATTAAACTAAATATTTGTGCGCGAAAAATGTTACATTTGTAACTTTCTATGCAAAGTGAAGTGTATCCCGCATCACAAACGCGGGTTGGATTAGAAACCAGAAAAAGATAAGGATGTATATGGAAGGAGGTCGGACGTGTCTTTATGCCCATTTGATCAACGAGTGACAGAATCCATCCCGTGTAGAAAAAGTAATAAGGTTTTAAAAAGGACCTTAATATGTCTTAAAATTAACTGGGTCCTAGGTATAGAACGCTTGGATCCTACATGGCTTGTAACAAATGGCGCTTTAGGGCCTGATAGGAAAATATTATCAGGACCCTATATGGAAACTATCAGAATCTCATAAGAAAATTTTATATTGTCCGCAATTAATATTCATTTCTGCATGGATATTTTTTCTGTCTTCTACGATACATACAGGGTGAGCCATTTTAATTTATCCACCCCAATAACTTTTTTATATTTGAATGTACAACAAAATGTTTCAAATAAAAGTTGCTTAACTTCGAGGGGGACAGAAGATGGGTGGCAAAAATTTGACCTTGGATAGTCATTTGAAAGTCTCATAAAGGTTACCTTCAATTTCTTAAATGGAATCAATAATCAATTGGTGTAAAGAAAACACATAGTTGTTTCTAAGAAAAAATATGTAATTTGCAATTAACAATTCCATATTTTTTCTTAAAAACAACTGTATGTTTTCTTTACACCAATTGATTCCTCTCATTATTTTGTATATAAAAGTATTAAGGTAAGATAATCGAAAAATGAATGGTTTACTAGATATTTTAAAGTATATGTAAAATTAAGAAATTATTTCAAGCCTTATAACTCAAAAAGTACTTAATGAAAAGGTACTTAATTATAGTGTTTTGGAAAGCTCTCGAGATAAGCTACAAGAATATGCAATGAAAAATAAAGGGTTCCATTTAAGAAATTGAAGGTAACCTTTATGCGACTTTTAAATGACTATCCAAGGTCAAATTTTTGCCACCCATCTTCTGTCCCCCTCGAAGTCAAGCAACTTTTATTTGAAACATTTTATTGTACATTCAAATATAAAAAAGTTATTAGGGTGGATAAATTAAAATGGCTCACCCTGTATATGAGAATTCATCAAAAAAAAAAATTAATCGTTTGCTGTTAATTTTTGAAGCTCTAGGGCTCCTCTCGCAAAAAATAGAAGAGATGCTATAACAGTCTTCGAGCTAATACGCTCTTTGACCGATAAGCCGTGACGCCTGTGCCTCGGTCTTATATACTGTCTTGGATTTTACTTTCGGATTAGGCTTTCAGGTTAAGCCTTTCGCCACCTAGCGGCAATAATGTATATATATATATATATATATATATATATATATATATATTTATGTATCTATAAATTTTTTTATTTTATATAATGAAAAGTATGAAATAAATAAAATATTTTTAATAAAAATTATTTGTTTATTAATGTTACTATTAATGCAATATATTATTAACTTCTTTTGAGTATTTTATAAATAGGTATTACATGAATTCTTCATTTTAAAAATGCGGCACAGTTAAAAAATCCTTATAACGGCCTTCTTAGTTATTTTTATTAAAGCCTGAGTTTCAAAATTAATTAATAAAATTAAATTAATAATTTAATAAAACCTTATATTAAATTATAAATTAAACATCGGATAAATATTATTATTAGTTTTTTTAATTATATGTCCTTAGTAATATTGGTAAAAATAGACAATTGCGGCCTATACGCCGATGACCTTGACCTTGACATATGTTGTCGAGGACACCTTCCCGAGTAATTTTATGTATGTATATAATAGGCGGACTCGAATAGTTTAGCCCCTACCCGATCTCAAAGTTTCAAAAGATTTTGCTGCATATTTTCGAAAATATCGATTGCACATATATTTTCATGCAAAGCGAGGTATATTTTATACCACGGATACTGGTTGGATTAAGTTATATCTTGCGGAAGTAGAGCCCCTTGCAGGGAGGCGGAACACACTGTATCCACGCATGTATTTTCGTAAAGTTCACAATTTTGGTTGAATTTCAAAAATATATACGTGGGTACAGTGTGTTCCGCTCCCCTGTAGGGGGCCTTATCTTTCTGATTATTCGAAAAAAGTTTGCTTTATTTATGAAATATAGATACAAATTAATTATGGATTAGTTGTATTCGATCCTGGGGGAAAAAATTTCCCGACAGCCTCAAAGAAACTGACTATTCGGTCGTCAAACTTGTATTGCCGTTTAAAAAAAAATTCTGCCATGTATCCGATGAGATGTTTCTCTCGTGTGCCGTATCGCGGAATATTGGCTCGAACTTCTCGCCATGTTCGTTCAATATTCTGGGTATGAGCTCCTACGGTAATATTATACTTATATTCTTATCGTAACGATAAAACAATACAAATTTTATTACTTACCAGTTTCTGGATCTACAAAATTCATTGAGTGATTTACAGTTAAATGGATGAAGCCTTCGTTATTTAAACAATCATAAGCCCGCCACATATCTGATATTATTGTAGTTTTTGGCAAAATCCACTGTTTTATAACACTTAATAATGTTTCTGCAGTGCGATTTTTGACCGGTACAATGAAAGCTTTGCCTGTACCACGCTCAAAGCCACCAAAAATCCATTTACCTGTAACTAGACGCCCACGATTGTATTTGCGTTTACCAATTTTGGCTTCATCTATCTCGACAACAATTCCTTTTCCGCCAATCGGATTCTGTTGAGCCTCAAGCCACATAACGCACACCTGAGATGTAGTTCAAAATAGTAGGAAATATTTTTTTAAAGTGTAAATGTAATTACTAGATAAATTGATACAATATAACTTACCTCACGGCAAAAACTTGACCAGTCAACTATAGTTTTATCGCTCAGCTGTAATTCTTGTTTGAGGAATTCAAAACGTGGAGGACGTATCATGAGAAAATACGCAACAAAACGAGTAACTATCGCAATATCGAGATTACAATTGGCTAGCCACGTATTAGTTTTAGCACTTTGTTTAAATTCACATTGTGAGGTTTTTTTTCTTTTATGATTGCGTTGGATAGTAATCGATTTTCGACACCGAAAAAATAATGTTGACATATTTAAAGTAAGTTTATTATTACACTGCGGACATATCATTTCTGTATTCATTACATTACATTTTTGCAAAAATTCTATTAATTCATTTTGGCGATCACACATCGATAAAAATTCATATAATTTCATTTTTCCGTAAATTTTAATCACATGAAGTTACAGAAGTGCCCAACAGTAAACTGTGTTCGATCGAATAACGTGATCTAGGTATGATTTCTGTATCATAACACGAAAATAATACGGCGCAATGTTCATGTACGTTGCTAGATGCGTAGTTCATAACACAACAACCGAAATAATAAGTTTACAAAAAAAATGTACATAACTTGTTTTGTAAAATTTTTCAAGATTTTTAACTTTTGTGAACAAATGAAGCAAAGTTCACAATTTTGCTTGAATTTGAAAAATACATGCGTGAATATTAACTTCGAGATGGGGTAGGGGCTAAACTATTCGAGTCCGCCTATTATATACATACATAAAATTACTCGGGAAGGTGTCCTCGACAACATATGTCAAGGTCAAGGTCATCGGCGTATAAACCGCAATTGTCTAGTTTTACCGTAATATTTAATAAGGCTCCATATTGATGATGATAGGATATCCTTTTCTATGGCATCCCTGCATTATCCTTATCAGGGCCAATAGTTTCATGTACTAACCCTAATAATTTTCTACACGGGATCCGTGGCAACGGCATCGACAGCATATCCTCTGTGGAGAGAGATCATTCACACATTTTCCAGCCTAACGAATAATTGCTAGAAAACAATATTCGCAGACTAGAAAAATATGTGATATGTTATATTTTCTGAAAGTTGAGTCCCCCTGCGGGCGGGAAGAGGGGGGGGGGTGAACACTGTTCACGCACTTTTCAAGATGAAACAAAGTTTACTTAAAATCCAATCCGTTACAAATTACAAACAAAAAATGGTTTATTAACACAACACAACAACACATACCAGACAACATAATCAAGCTTTTGTAATTGGTGGAAAAATTTTCTCTACCTTTTGATGGAGACAAAGATAAATTAACCTTTGAATTTATAAAGGATATAGAAAGCAACATAAAATCACGTAAAGTCAACGAAAGGTTTAAAATTAGAAATCACGTCATCCCCACGTTGCAGAGGTTCATGAAACAAACATATTCTCCAACAGACATAGACAGACAACTAATAGAATTACATAGAATGAGTTCCAAGTTCATGAAAGAACATCCGGAAATTCTAATCACCCGAGCAGATAAAGGTAATATAACAGTAGTCATGGAAAGAAGTTCATACAACGGAAAAATGAACGACCTCCTTTATGACAAAGACACATATATAGAAATCACAAAGAATCCGATCAAGAACATTGAATCTGCATTCAATAAATCTATGAAAGATTGGCTCCACAAAGATTACATCACAAAACAATAATATTACAGCTTGAGATCAAGTGACCGTCCATTACCAAAGAATATGGTATCCCAAAAATTCATAAAGAAGGTCACCCGTTGAGAATAATTGTCTCATCAATAAATAGCCCTCTGTATAACTTAGGAAATTTTATTCGGAAAATACTAGATGTTAGTCTCCCAAAAGCACGCAGTCACATAAAAAACAGTTTTTCTTTATATAACATACTCTCTAAAACAACAGTAGATAAAGATGACATCTTAATTTCATTAGATGTAAAGTCTTTGTTCACAAATGTACCTGTAGATTTAGACAGGAATAAATAATAGATGGTCATATATACAAAATTCAACAAACATACCAAAAAAAGAATTTCTCAACATAATCAAACTTCTTCTTTCATCAACATACTTTACCTTTGGCAATAAAATATTCAAACAGACTTTCGGAACACTCATGGGATCACCGTTGTTCCCCATAATAGCGGTCATAGTCCTTCAAGATATAGAAAACAAAGCATTATTCAAACTAGGGAAAACAATCAAAATTTATTACAGATATGTAGACGATATATTTTTAACAACCCAAAAAGAATCAATTCAAACGATTTTAGACACCTTTAATTCCTTTCACAAAAGAATAATATATACTTTGGTAATAGAAAAAAATCGGAGTTTTTAAACTTGGATCTAAAAATCATTATAGACACAAACAACCATATGGTATTAGATTGGTACTACACGTGTCATAAAATACATACTCACCCCATGTGTCATAAAATAGGCATCGTTTACAATTTGATTGACAGAGCATTACTCCTCTCCCATCCCACATTCCATCAAAAAAATTTACAATTGCACATAAACATACTAACGGATTTCCCTTAGATTTTATTTTCAAACACGCTCACAAAAGAATTAAATATTTAATAAACAATAAATTGAAAATCAATCCAAAAAAGATACAAGAGACGACAGACATTACAGAAGAGAAAAAATTTGCCATATCCTACATAAAAGGCCTGTCTGAATTAGTTAGCGAATCGTTAAAAAACACAGTGTTCGACATAGGATACAAATGTTTTAATCGATTGAATAAATTCATTAAAGTTCACAAGGATAAAACTCCTTCACATAACAACAATAATATCATATACCAAATTCAATGCAAGGACTGTGATGCAACATACGTAGGACAAAAAAAAGAAAGTTAAAAACCAGAATAAAAGAACATAAAAACAATTTTTATCAATCCAATCAACGCAAAATTTACGGTTATTTCCAAACATATTTTAGATAAAAACAATAGATTGGGAGAACACAAAAATATTAGACAGTGAACCACACTATTACAAAAGATTGATTACAGAATCAATTCACATACAACAAACATACAAAAAATGGTTTAAACATCAATGGTTAAACATGGAGGACTGCAATTTATTGGATCGTTCATATTTTTCGTTGTTGAACGTTAATAAAAAGCGTCTAATTTGTGCTAATGACGTTCAATAACATAGACTCTTTATAAATAACACTGTATATCTGCGTTTTGTCAGTATCTATCCGTCAGGTGTGAGAAACACAATTCAATATAACATCAATGTTAAAAAATAGAATCAATGATTGTGTCATTCTTCATAAGTCTTTGCAATGTGAAATGCGGAAATTGGTATGAGATTTATTTAATTTATGACTACCACCTAGCTTTGACTTTATAACGCATTAATCTGACAAAAACCGACATCTTTTACATAGACAAACATCAATTTCTGCAACAATCATTGCATCTGGAGATCGACCGAAGACATCATCTGACACTCCCAACACATTTTACAACAAAAAAATGCATAATGTTAAGTAACTGTAAGTTCGATCTAACGTCCAAAATTTTGTTAAAATTTATTAATATTGGCTGAAGAGACAAAAGTAATTGTCGAAACGTCCCAATGCGTTTTTATATTTTTTATTTTTAGAATTGTATGCGTTCCATCTTAGATTTATTATGATTTGATTTCAATAAATAAAAATATGTTTCAATATCCATTTGTTTTAAATTACTCGTATAAGCCTAGATTAATTCTTAGAAAAGTTACTTAATTTTGACTTCCATTAAGAATAAATTTTGCTTCATCTTAGGAAGTACATGCGTAGGTACAGTATGTTCTGCCTCCCCCCTACAGGGGGTTCCACTCTCAGAAGATATAACCTAACCTAATCCGTGTTTGATGCGGGATACACTTTATATAGAAAATTACAAATCTATGTGAAATTATGCAACAATTGATTTTTCTTTCGATAAATGTATTAATGAACTTATGAAACTTCTTTTGTTTATATCATTTGAATAATAAACAATGACCACCTACTAAAACCTTGGCAACATTAATCATCAGAGTGATGATTATGATAACATAAGTGAGAATTATTGAAATCGGAAGATGGTCCGTATAGTAGTAAGTAAATAATTACCAAAAATAATATACTCTATGGTCAAACAAATAAAATATAACAAATAAAAGTGTATAAATTTAATATCAACAAAATGAAAATTTATAATAACAATATTTTCATAAATGAAAAAAATTAATTAATTTAATGATTAATCGTAGTTCAAATCCTCAATAATTCACGTTCATGAAATAAGTAATAAGAGAAAGCGAAATTATATTATATTTCTCCGGATAAAATGAAATCTTTATTTCTTAGCGATGGCATACTCCCCCATAATTTAACCGAAATCCACAAAAAAGATATCCCATTACGTATTATTGTTTCGTCGATAAATAATCCTCTGTATACGTGTCCACCATCCTTCCCCACCATCCCCACAACATCATACATAATTCAAGGGCTCATAGAAAACAGTTTCGAAATAGTTAAAAAATTAAGAGGACAGTTTTTAGACAAACAATATTGCTTTATTTTTTTAGACGTTGCTGAAACGCATGCTTTGAAGGCCTGCAAAACACGCACAATATAAACATAATACACAACAAACACATACATACAAAATGAAATAAGTAAATTATAAATATATACAGAAAAAATATGTAGTTATTAGAAAACAATAACAAATAATGCTTTCACATTTAATAATAATGTTACAGTTTATAATTATTAATAATATTACAGTTTTAAAGTACGTTTATTCTGGAGGATTGCATATAGTACAAAGAAACATATACTATATCTAAATACGTGGATATGAGCGGTTGAAAAAATGATAACTACGCTTGCGTCACTTTCGTAACCCATACACTTTTTTCCATTTCACTTTTTTAATGTTATGTGAAAACAACACGTGTTTAATTTCATTCGGCGTTAAATCGATCGCTTAATCGACGGCTGCCCCTCAACAAAATAATATTAAATTACAGGTGTTCCGTTTTATAGTCATACTCCGTGTTCTTTCGTGTTGCATTTGGTACAATTATGGGACATTTTACGAAAATTAACTTATATGATATAGAGCGTAATAATTCATACTAGAAAAAAGGACTTTGAGAATATCTAATCAACCAATTTAATGGTGGGGATAAGCAAATGTCCGTCGACTTCATCCTTGTCAAATGTGTTCTAATGCTAGCAGAGAGATGATCAGTATTGAAGATCGGTATTTTAATCTTAACCGAATTTTACTGTTGATTATTGGTTTATGGCCTTATCAGAAATCAGCGTTTACACGATTTCAATCAATCTGTTTTTTTAGCATCGAAGCAATCCTTATTATATCTCAAGTATGTATTAAAATATATTTTAATTATAGTATACATTATATGAATTCTAAAATCTAATTTCGTTTATGTGTGTTTGTGTGCTTGCGTACATACGTGAGATATTTTTTTTTCTACCTGGCAACATTTCTCAATAAATTTGTTTAAAAAGATATTAATTGAAATATCAGCAATTGAATATTGGGGA